ATGTCGCGATATATCGATTAATGGCCCAGTCCTAGCTATGAGTTATACCTTTCGAGTTGGTCCCTTTCAGTGATGTTTTTTTTTGTTTCTCTCGGGACACTGCCCGGAAATTTCAAGACTTGGCGATTATACCCACAGATCATGGTACGGAAATCTCCATTTATTTTTATTCTTTACCTCGTGTAAAAGTGCAATGTTTATTAAAAAATTATGTGGAACTCGAGCTATAAATTGGCTGGGGACAAATCATAAATTCTATTATTATTTCATCTACCATCAGTATTCTCCCTAATCGTTTTTTGAAGGCTCTGCCTGAACTTTGATACCAATAAATCAACCCCTTTTCATAAAAATAAACCGGTATCTATTCAGATTCTATCTAACCGCTATCTATTCCCTAATTTATTCAGATTCAATTTTGAAAACAATTGATTCATTGTTTAAAATAAATATTAATTAAACATTGATAAAATTATCTGTCTTCAGAGGTCTGTCCAAGCCAAATTTATTACCGTTTAGCGGTACCTTCAACAATTCAACTTAAAGAAAAACGGTAGTTTCACAAAATACTTTTTCTTAAAATTTTATTTTTGTGTCTCATACGAAATGATAAATCCATATTTTTATGTTGATTTTTTAATATAATTTTTAATTTTCTCAAATTAAAAATTCTAATTCAACTCAAATTCTAAATTTTCACAAAATAGGCACCTCTTAGAAAAACCTAGACAGACCCCTGATTCTGAATAGTGGCTGAATATTCGTTACATCTCAAATTAACTATTACTCTCCTTCCTACTGAAGGTTTTTACTTATATTATCTGGCACGCTTATGTCCCATTTGATTTTCCAAAATTTATCACTGTGATTCTAGAGTGCAAAAAGTGTAAGACCCCTACTTTATATAATTCTAAAGCATCAAATTATACAATTCGTTTGCATCATTGTATTTAACTAAAAAATAAATTTATATTCATTGGTAAACTTAAAAAATATTATTCATCATAGCCACCTAGCCTAGTTTAAGTTATGCCACTATAGTTTAACTTTCTATATAGTAATGTACTGCAGAAATTTATTTAAAATATTTATTTATTTTTTAGGAAAATCGATAAAGGTTACACAGACTTGGATCATGTTTCTGAAGCACTATCAGACAAGACTTCTGATTCCTGCAAAAATATTGAGGAATCAAACTGTTTGGGATTTTCAGATTCTGTAGCAGTTGATAGTCTTTCCGAACCAGCGCCAAACATTGTTATCAATCCAAAAATAAATGTCACTCAAAGTATATCTAAAATTAATACAGCTTTTGACAGTTTTGACGACAGTTTGAATGAGCCACTTTCCCATCAAAAGAAGCTTGTTTCTAATCTTGTACATGATAATAAATCAAGTAGAAAAAGTCGGGAAAAGCAGTTACTGAGCTCTAATAATTTCTATGACAGTTTGGAAGATATTTGTTCTCTGGCGTCGAACATGGAAAAAATAAGCGGATCTGAAAGTGCTAAAATTATCAAAAATGTAACACATGAAAAATCTATTGCCGTTGATTCTCTTATTGTTGATGCCTGTCCGAAAGGTGATGAGTCTGACAATGGGGAGCAACATTTCGAGGAGGATTCTTTAGCAATTATTGAATATGAAAAAGCTTTTGATGATAGCTTGGAGGAAGCTGAATTAATTGAAATGCTTAATGTTTCACACATTGAAGAAAAAGTGATTCAGTCAGTTGAGTATGCTGCAAATAATGCTGTTGAATGTGCTGGAAATAACACCACAGGTGTAACCCATAATTTGTTTCAGACAACTGAATATCAAATTGAAAGAAATAGCTTTATTGCGGAGAAGAGCTCTGCAACTCAATTTGAAAATGAGTGTTCCCTTTCTTCATCTGATTGCATTGCATCAAAAGATAGTTTGGAAAGTTCAGATGGGGACCTAGCTCCACACAAGAAAACCCAATGTAAACTATCTAATGAATATGAAGTTTCTACTAAGCCTGAGAATCTCATACAAGAATATGGAAATGCTTCCATTGATTTGCCCAAGTTGGATACAAGTGCATCTGAAAATCAGCAACGTTTAAATAGTTCCAATTGTTTGCCCCCATCTTATCAACATTTGAAAATAGTAAAAGAGTCACGTCCGTCAAATGAACAAATTTTTGAAAATATAAAACATGTTGGTGATAACAGTATTATAACGGCTCCAGTAACTGTTTTTGAACAAGATATAAAATTTGTACATTCCAATGATAAATCTGTTTTAAATTCTGAAATCCATAGTGATGCATTAATTACAGTTCCAAGTTTGAAATCTAATCCAAATAACAGCATGTCTATTTGTGAAAGCAATGGTCCTATCAATAGTTCTTCGAACGTCAATAAATGTGAAGGTAAATATGAAATTCACAAAAATGGTGCTTGTAATTTATCCTCTGATAATATACAAAATGAATGTTTTGAACCACATGATAATAAACGTTCATCACTAGGTCCAAAAGATTCTTCTAGAAGTGATGAATTGTTGCCATCTGTTTCTGAAAACTGTAATCCTGAAGCAAGTTCAGATATTTCTATGGAAAACCCTCTAAAGAACTGTCATTTATCTGAAAAAAATAATACAAATGTAAGGAAAAGTATAAATAATAACTTAATTGGTAGCAGTATGCCTAGTCTTGAAGATGAGATCAATAACGAAAATAATTATTCATGTAATTTGTCTTGTAACAAAAGCAATTCTGAACTTCTAAATTCATCAAGCAGAGAAGAAATTACTGATGTGAACAATGAAAATTGTAGTCAAACTTATTTAATGCCAGAACGCACATCTAAAGCAATGTCAAATGTTAATATTTATAATTTGGATAATTTTAAAAAGGGATTAATAATGTCAAAACCTGAAGCAAACAAAATAGATGATATTTCAAATGAACAGTTATTTTCGGTTTCACCATCTGAGCAACCTTCTAGCCAAAACAAGACTAAAATGTTGAAATGTAAAGATTCTGAACACTTACCTGGTTCTATCGACGAATCTAAAACATTTTTGGAAGCTCAATATTCCATTTCTCCATCTAAGGTTTTATATGATAAAAATAAATCTTCATCAAAGGAAGATAAGAAACAAAATGATGAAGAATCCACTAAAAGTAAACTTTTTAAAAAGCACAGTAAAACTGAAAATGCAAATAATATTGAGATTGAAGGTGTAATGTGCTCAAATATTTCATCTAATGATAAAAGCAATGAAAATTGTAGAAATTCTCCAGAGTTGTCTAAAGATATTTGTGCTGAGGACTATAAAGTATCGATAAAAAAAGTTAGTGAAACAATCAATGCTAAACCGTCAACATCATCTGTTTCCTCAAGAATGTCAGCTAGCAACATTACTTCTACAGACGACTCTAAAAGCCTAACGTGGAACTCTCATGAAAATGAAAGTTTAACTGTAAATGATAATTCTAATAATATTTCTATACTTATATCTGAAAATGTTCATGTAACTACGAGAACTGAAAGTTCAACTCTAAATCAAGATATATCTTCTACAAAAGATTTTAGTTTTATGAATGATTCAATGTTTCAAAATTCAAATGCTTTTGATGTTGATGAAAAGTTAAGTGAAGTTACAGATGAGGTTGTAATACTTACAAATGAATCTGGTTTTCCAGATGACTCTATATGCATTCTGCACGATTCAAATGCGAAGATTGAGTTTAATGCTAAAAAATCAAATGAAGCTGCGCAAGAACAAAAAATTACTTCAGCTTCAAATGAAACTATTTGGATTGACAATTCCATTTGTTTAGTACCTGAATCCGATATTAAATCAGAAATAGACGAAGAGTTGAATCAATGTTTAAGTACAGCCAAAAATTCTCAAATTATGAATGATACTATTTGCATCGAGGACTCTATATGCATACCGCAGGAACTAAATATTTTTCAGACAAAAATCAAAAAAGAGAATTCAGATTACAGTTTAAAGTCAACTCAAAGTATCTCAACAGCGGAGGAAACTTTTCATGTCAATGATACTATTTGTATTGATGATACAATGTGCTTTCATACAGTGGAAAACAATATCAAGATAGAAAACCAAGATTCTGATGAAGATGATACCTATTATAGCTGTTCCAGTGAAATAGATTCTGAAAAATTTAAACTTAGTAACAATTCTAAGAGTGAATATGACAATGACTTAAATGCAGCAATTTCTTCTAACTTAAGGAAACAAATTGCACAGAAGGTTTCGAAAGTTGCTAAGTCAAAACCAAATGATGGGAATCTTGTCAAGCTTCAAATCAAAGTGGCTGTTCGTGCTGACCAAGTTAACATTTTATCAATATTACCTCCTGAAGACAAATCCCAAAATATCTTTCATAATCCCAAAGAATCAGCAGATTTAGTCATTGAACCTACTGACTTACACCTACAAAGCAGAACACAAGTCAGTAATTGCAGTTCAAGAAAAGTCATGAACAAATTTTCTTCCACGGATACTCTAGTCCCCGAAAATCCATTAGCAAAAATTACAACCTCAAATGATATTTCCACTAAAAGTGAACTAAATTCTCAAGTGCCAAAATTAATTGAAGCACTTGATTTGCATGATGTTTCACTTTGCTTTACTAATGATCGTTTGGTTGATTCAAGAGATTCAATTAAGCCTTTAAACTTGTGTTTAAAAGGATCTTCAGATCAAAAGGATATATTTCAATCTAAAATTGTAGGAAAAGAAAATATTCCAATTTTTGAAACTGTCTCTTATAATAAAAATGTGTTGAACCTTCCAGTTGGAAGTGCAAAAAAACATGTCTTACCACAATCAGATCATTACAAGTCTCCGAAAGTTCTGGGTAATGGCACAGAATCAAAAAAATCAGGCACTAAAATACCAGTACGCAAAATTGAAAACACATCTCCTTCTCCAGTTTGTTTTAAGTTCCCAAAATCTGATTTTAAAGATAAGCCTTGTGATGAGCTAAAACATCCCTTCGTTGGAACTATTCCTTTATATAGGGGAAATTTATTTACTCCTACGATTGGAGATAAAGCGAAAGGAAAAATGCTAGAAGTTACACCTGCAAAAAGTCATCATTTTTGCTCTGTCCGTAATTCAATATCAAGAGTTCCAAAAGCACCAAGAAGCTGTCCAAAAAAATTTCAGTATATTCAAAGTCCAATTGCTCAGGTATTAATTTTGATTAGTCTATTATTATTATTATTTTCTTATGTTCAGTTATTATTTTTCTGTTCTATGTTAGTTATTTTTGTCTTTTTGCTAAGTTATTGTTTATCTTTTTGTTCTTTGATTTGTTATTATTTATTTATTCATTGAAATTTATAGTATATAAGAAGCAACAGAGTTTTGTCACCATTGCAAGTTACTAATCGCTGTGATAACATTTTCTGTACGCCTGTAAGTAAACATTTAAAAATTCTTTATTTTCAGTTTTCTTTTTTTAATGCTTTTATTTATTTGAAATTTTAATAGGTTATCTAATGTAATTGAAATTTATTTCTTAATTCATAAACTTTTTAATTTTCTTTGCCACATTCCTATTTTTTTTTTAAAGCATAAAATTATGTAATTAAATTAATTATTTTTACAATTTAACCGTCTTCTTCAATTACTATAGAGTACTCAGGGGTCTGTCCAGGCCGAATTTACTACCGTTTAGCGGTACATTCACAAATTCAACTTGAGGAAAAACGGTAGTTTCACAAATTCAATTTTAGGAAAACCGGAAGTTTCAAAGAATACTTTTTCTTAAAATTTTATTTTTGTATCCCTTAAGAAACGATAAATCCATATTTTTGTGTTGATTTTTTAATATAATTTTTCACAAATTATGTCTAAATTTTCACAAAATAGGTACCTCTCAGAAAAACCTAGACAGACCCCTGGTACTTCAAATTATTCTACTCAGTGCTAAAATTGAAGTTGTATGGAAATTACCATTATATTAGTTCATTAAGTATGAAATATCTCATTTTAAAATGTAAACTTGTTTTATATCACTCAAGTTAAAATATAATCTATAATTTAACAAACCGATGAATTTACTTTTTCTGTCAACACAGTGGCTTTTAAATTTCAACACTGAAAATGCATGGAGATTAAGTTTTGATAGAATTGTAAATTTACAGTTTTTGCTACAAAGAAAGGTTTAAAACTCTTTAACGAAACAATTAGTCAGTTGGTGAAAAAGCTGAAGGATGGTTAGGTTAATAATGATTATTCAGTCTAAGTTTCTTTCAGCGTGTAACGTTCGAGAGGATTGATTCATATCTATTTACAAACTTGGTTGGTTAATCCCAAGCTCTTTTATTATTTTATCTAATTCATTGTTTTAAATATCTGCTTTAAATCAGAAGACCAAGTTCCATGGAATTAGGCTGGAGTTCTATGAATTCATTTCAGAACTGGATAATTTAAACCATAAACTAATAGTTTACTAAATGTACAAAAAAATCTTTCCAAACAATTACAAATGTACAAAACAATGCCTTTTTTTCTTTGAGTTACAATATGTTGTAAAAAAAGTTATTTTTTTATTTCTTAAGCTAAAATAATATTGTATAAGGCCTTTTTCAGTTTCTTTCAGGGCTATCTACCTGCCAAAAAAATTAATAAATAAAACCCATATTTAAGTGTTTTTTTTTTAAGAAATGACAAAAACAGGAATTGGTTTGTCAACCTTTTTTTTTCTTTCCTTTTATTACTACAGCTATTATTATAATTTCTAGGGTTTGTTGATTTAAACCAACTGATTTTATATATATATATATATATATATTNTATATATATATATATATATAAACACAAATTAACATGAAAAACATGAATAAAATAAAAAGACTAAATTGTAGAGAAGCAAGAATGGTAAAAGCAATAGTCGTTATCAAGACACATCTATTGCTATAAATGCGATATTTCTGAATAAAGAATAAATATCCTAAGATAAAAATTATTCTTTATATGTGTCGATATTGCAAGAAACATATAGTTGAAAGGTTATGAAATAAAAGTAATCAAACTTACCGGCGTGTAGCAAGATGCGGTTTAGATTTAAAAGATTTAGATTTTTATATGTTCATTTAAAAAGTTAAAGAAACAGTGTTTTAAATTATTGATACTTTTATTATTTCTTTTCTATGTTTTAAAATTTATTTTATATAAATTGTTGCATTAATTAATTTTAGCTAACAAAATTACTTTCTTGGTATGTGTTAAATTACATTTTTAAAAACCATTTGATTCTTGAGATTGAAAGTACAGATTAAAGTAAACATATAAAAAAAAATTTCTCATAATATGTTTACGGTATCTTTGACATTATCAGATTTTCTATAAAGAAATTTTGTGAAAAAAAATTTCAATGAGTACACATGTTTTTAAAAAATTATTTTTTAGCTTAACTTATCTATTTTGGTATAAGATTGAAAATGAATATTTTAATATAAAAATATATGTAGATTAAATATTTATTTATTTTTTGATGAATGACTACATTTATAAACACTATCTGTTATATTTATTTTGTCATTTTAAAAATCAAAAGGAAAAAAAAGAAATCGCAATTTTAAATTAAAATTATGGTTTGGTAAGTGAAACTTTGTTTTAAAAGTTAAAGTATTCTTTAAATTCTCTATTTCTTCTAGTCTTTAAATTACAATCATGCATTTGTTTCAAAATGGTTACTATGCATTCAAAGCTATGTATTAATGCAAAACTGTTTTAGGTAGTTAGAGCTTCTAAAATATTCTTATAATATATTTAGTTTTAATATTAATTTAATTTTGATTAAACATTTATGAAGTTTTTTAGACATAAATCAAAGTTCTTACAGTGTATTTGAATAAAAATTAAAAATCTGATTTAAATCAAAAAAATCCGATTTAAATCAAGAAAATCAGATTTTTATGATTTTTTTTTTTTAAATAATAAAAAAGATCACGAACCTTGATAATTTCCCAATTTAGTAAATATTTTCTCAAATTATTTTATCATTTTTGTTTAAAAATGTTAAGCACTTAAGTAAAAATGTACATTCTTTTCAAAATAGTTAAAATCCGACAAAAGTTATTTGATTGAGAATGTCTTGAACTCAATTATGAATTTTAATTAAGTATTGGTGTGAACAAATATTAACTAATATTAATTTTTTATTAAAGCAACAGTTATATAAAAAAATTTCTATGCATTAATCTTTAGTTATCCTATAAGTTGCTCTGTGCTCCAATCCTAAAATCATGCTATTATTTTATTTTTGTTCTTTAGAAGGATTAAATCTGAAATTAAAATAGTATATTTTTATTATTGTTTTGAAATAAAATTTAAAGACTTAAATCGAACATATTATACTCTTTTAAGTTTGTCTTTTTTCCTTTTTAAAGTAATTTTGTGTGTGAATAGTGCCTCAAATGTCCTGATAGTTTTGAAAAAAATTTCCTGATTTTTTTCTTTTGCCCTCTGCAAAGCCCACCAAATCGGAATTCCTCTCACAATCAGCAAAATATGCTATTTTTCCGCAATTTTTATCAAACATTTAAATTTATTTCAGCTTGTTTTGTTTGCTTTTAAATCTAACTTATGTTTGGAGATGAGTTATTGACTTTTTTGTTTAAATTTAATTGTTGCTCCCGAAGTGAGCAAGATTAATAAAAGCATCTGTATAAGGATTTTTTTTTTTAGATTACTTGTACTTTTTAAATTTCTGTTTTCCTTTTTGGAAATCCATTTTATTTCAAATAAGTAAAGAAATATCAGTTTAAATACTATTACTTTTAAAATTATATCTTCTGCTTCTTCTCGATCTGTGAATTAGTCAGCGCTTTTTCTAAACTTACGAGTTGGTGACCGTACTGCCACAAATGAATTTGTGTTATTCAATGAGAAAGAGCTAGCCAGAAAGATTCTTATTATTTAAGATTCCTCCATTAAAACACTGAAGGTGTTTGATGATAGAGTTAGCTGTGCTCAGTTTAAACTATGCATTACATAAAAAGAGGTCCAAAATTTCAAAAATACCTCGAATTGTTTTTATTTGTTGAAAAATATGAAATTGAAAAGTTAATCATAATTTTATTTTCAGAATTCTGCTCTTCCAAGCCAATCTTCTAAAGTACCAGGCATTCCACAAGTAACTTCACAAAAACTCCATTTACAAAAAGTCAATAAAAAGTATGTATGCTTTTGTTAAAATATTTTGTTTAAAAAGGTTTAGCCTAATAATTTTATAATCTTTTCTTATCTGTTGCTAGATTTTTGTAACTTATCCAATTATTATGTTAATTAATTTTTTTTTTCACTCATGATGAAACTTGTTTTGAAATTTGGTAAAAAGATACAAAAACGTCTTCCATATGACATTTTTAAAATTATACTTGTTATCAGGGTTGGAGTTTTTGCCGGCAAAAAGGGGTTTTTGCCAGGACAGTGGCAAAAACCTGGTAAAAACCGGCAAAAACTGGTAAAAACCGGCAAAAACCAAATTATCTAAATTGCTGATTAAATATTATTACAAAATACTTGAAACAAATTTAAATCAATCATAAGGAATAATAATTTTGATACATTACATGAAAAAATTATTTTTAACATATTAATAATTAATATAAGGGTAATAATTTTTAAAAGATTGAAAGTTTTTGATCTCTTTTCATTTTAGAATCCTAAAATAAATGTTTTTTTACAAATAAATAAATATTATTATTTGTATAATATTATTATTTATTATAAAAAATTATTATTTGTACAATAATTAACTACACATGTTGATAGATATTTTATGCTTTAAATTATAGTTATATTAATTTAAAATAAGTTCATTTCACTGGAAAAAAGAGAATAATCACAAATTTTCCAATCAATAATGTTTTAAACTACTAAAATGATATATTATTACATTATCATTTAATTATGATTTAATAATAATTTTGTTAATTTTTCTGTAATTATTTATATTCATAGTATATATTTCAATTTTAGGAATAATTGTGTACAAAAAATGTGTTTTTGTCTTCTTATCTAGGAGAATATAGGTTTTTGCCACTTTTTGCCAATTTGCTTGGCAAAAACCTGTTTTTGCCAGGACGGTTTTTACCGGTATTTACCATGGTTTTTTCCACCTGCGGCAAAATCTTGCCAACCCTGCTTGTTATTAACATTTAGAAAAATGTTTTCTTATTTAAAAATGACAGATTTTAAATTCTAGATTTAAATGAGATAATAAAATTTTTTTTTTTTTTAATGTTTGTTTCTATTTTTTTGTTACTTGTACTTTAACGTTCTAATATATTTGTGTTATTTGAGATGTAATTTCTGATAATTAATTTTTATTTTTAATTGGCAAAACATGAAATATTACCATCTTGAAAGCTTTTTTTTTCTTTAATTTCTACAAAAGTAAAGTCTTAGATTACAAGGCATTTTATTTACCTCTGAAATGCTGTTTTCTTTACAAAATTTAAAAAAAAAATTGAGAGAATATAAGCTATTGGTTTTTACTTTCCTTAAAATAATTATATTTAGATTTTCTCTTTTTATAAGTTTCAGTTAACATTTTTTGAAATTAAACCTTGCATGCCTTTTTATATTCAAAAGATTTTATTATTACATTTATCTAAAGTACGGAAAATAATTTTCATTGCAATCTATTATCAAAGCTAAGACTTATCAATGTAAATTTATAATTAAAACTAAGCATTTGCTTTTTAGAATGTTTGTTAGTTATTGTAACACTTTTAAGTTAAACATGTCATTCTTATGCACAAAATCTTTTTTTTTTTTAGTAAAAATCTTTTGAAAACTATTGAATATTAATTTTTCTACATTTCTCTTTCCACTATTGATTATTGTGTCTCTTCTCAATATCGAACAAATCATGTCGTCGTTTTTAATTTTTTTTATTTGTAACATTTGTGCATAAAAGGAAATAAATATAAATAACTATATCACTTAAATATTATTTGAGTATTCGTGATCTCTATTTTTTTGAATGGATATTTTCATACTCCAAAATCTGTTAATAATTATAAATGTTATTTTCTAGGCTCTAATATACCTGTGATGTTTCATGAAGTCATCATTGCATGTTTGTCATTTTTTTCAAAATTTTTATTTGTGTATCTAAGCTCAGTGTTTTGTCATTGTATTAAAATATATATATTCTAGATAAAAGTTTTAACAATTTAAATGTATTTTACTACATATGTAGTGTATTTATGCTATTATATTTTACTTTTATAAAAATGCATTTGAACATTTAAAAGTATGAAAAGTTAGTTTTGTCTTTAATTATGTGAGTTCAATATCTTGTTGGACCTCCATCATTGAAAGTACCTTGAAACAGACCTATTTCATGAAATCAAATTATTCGGATCATCGACGTAACATTTTTTAATATAATTTCATCAATAATCAAGACAAGTTTTTTTTATTTAAAAAATCAAGTTTTCTGTGCATAACACTTCCCTTTGCTTAAGAGAAATCTCGATACTCAAACTAAACTACATTTGTAGTAATGAAATGATTGCTTCAGATTTCCTCAGCAAAACTGGAATAACCAAGTTCATCAACTAACAGTATGTTTCTTTTTTATTCTCATAAAATAAGCTCATTGTAGTCATGCAGTACAGTGAGTGTTTTTTATTTTGAAGTTTTCATGTATTATGCCATCATATTTTGGAAGTTGAGAAAAGAAAGAAAATTAAGTGCATTTATTCATCGATTTTACTGAGGTATTGGGATAACCGAGGTTCTGTTGTATATTTATTAATAAATATTGCATTACTGGAACCTGAGTGAGCAATGTGAGATTTTATATTAATATTTCATTCTTTTGAATTCTAGGTGTATCTTAACTAGTCCAAATCCAGTGAATTTTACAAAATTTTATATTAAATAATGTTCTATTTTAATTCCTTAAGATTCAGTGTATATACTAAGCCAAGTCATGGTGCGTAGCGTTTTTAAAAAGTCCTTAAAGGTGCTAATTTTCGTTTTTTAAAAAGCCCTTAAGAGTGCATTTTTTATTGGGTGTTTTTAAAAAGTGCTTAATTTACTGGTTTCGAAAATGAGATTTTTTTCTTTACCATGTTGTTTTTCGCCTCATATTATGCAAAAGCGTGCTTTTCATGTTGTTCCATTCAACGTTTTCACAATTCATTCCACCACAATCCAATTCGGCGTGCTGTGGGTCCATTGCGTGTAAAAGCGCCAATCATTTTACATGTTTCATGACATACTTGCAGGTCCGCAAGTGCATATATTGAGCTGGATTCGGTGAGATTTTTGCAACTCTGCTACATTTTGAAAGATGTTCTCAATTTCAGGCTTCATTTACCACTCTCTAAATCTTCTTATGATAGCTAATATGATCAAGAAAAGAGTTCTTTGTCAGGAACTAGTTATTTTATCATGGTCATGTACAGTCTTCGAAAATTATTTTGCTAATGTATAGAGTGCTTAAAAAAATTTTTTAGTGCTTAAAAATTGCTAAGATTTGACTACACACTCTGCAAGTGAGTTGTAAAATATCTGGAACATTCCAAAATTCTAACATACAATAAGCTTCCTAAATGCCATAATTCTCAAAAGGAAAAAACATTTGAAATTTATTTAAGTTTTTTTAGATATGATAAAAGTTATTAATAAGAAATGCATTATTTTGTTTAGAAAACTTGTAAATAATATTTTAATAATGCTGGCAGCTATGTATTTACATTTAAACCATTTCATGTTTCTAATTTTTTTTAATGAAAAATTTAATTTCTTTAACTTATGTAGATGTGATAAGCATTTTTTTTATGTTATAATCATTTACTGCTAAGTTCTATATAGTAATTAAGCATTTCTGTATCATTACTAATTGAAATTGCTATAAGGTTCTTTTTCTGATTATCCACTCTGAAAAAATTTTCTGAATGTCTTTTTAGAATGAAAAGCTCTTTAAATATTTTGTTAATTATTTGCATATAATTTTGTTTCGACTCATTTTTAAGATACTAAGTTTTTGATATGCAGTTGCCCTGTAAATGTTGAACAAATTTGAGCCATTTTACAAGTCTCATATAACTCAAAAATCTTTTTTGAAAAATCAAGTGGAATTGTCTCTTAAAACTTAAAAATAACATAATATTAATAATAACAACGTGATTTCAATCATTAAAAATAAAATTGAGGCATACTAAGTACCTAAGCCTTTTACGTAGAATTTTTGTTAAGCATATTTTAATTTAGGGCAAAAGTAAAAAGTATTATATTTAACATATTAATAATTTATGGTTATGAATTGCAGTATGAAACACTGGTGTCTTTTTCTGCACTAAAGGTAAAATCTGTCAAACATAGCTCTTTTCCAGCCAATAACTTTCAAATTAGCAACTATTTCGACAAGAAAGGAACTGTTGTTCATCCTTGAAATTTATAAAATCAATTATTGATACATTTTTGAATCGGAATGAAAAAACTAATCTTACTTTAAATATAACTCCTATAATCAGACAGATTTCTTTAGTAACTATTAGATTGTTTTTTATAATAAAAAAATATGTATATAAATAAAAAGGAAATCGGTGTTTCATCTGCATCAAATGATTAAAGTGTGCTTGCATTTTCTTTTTAAAAGTATTAGTATTGTTTCCCTTATTACCGTTTCAAATCGCTAAGTGTATAAAATTTCATTTAAGCAATTTTGTATAGAAATTTCTTCATGCACAATTTTCTCATAGGGTTTGTTACAAAGTGGACAGTGCATTTTGCTAAGATATACATATAGGTTTTACAAATGCTTCGTCAGTTACATTTACTAGCTTTTGGAAGCACATTTTTAAATAACCCCAGTTTTAAATGTTATCTGTAAAGCTGCATGTAAGAATTTTAAATGAATACATTTTTATGTTATAATTAATAATCTCCTCCTTGAAAGCTTATTTTTTCTTTTTTCTCCACAGTTTGCTATCAAAATTTTTTAATTAACTTAAATAGATTCTGTTGCAATGTTTGTTTAGTCTTTCACATGTAATATGTAATTTATAAAAACAAGTATATTAGTTTTTGTACCTATTTCAAACTTCTTTTAAATGTTTTTATATTATTTGCTTTCTTTTGTTGCTATCATAAAATTTTGTGGTTCCTGCTTATCTTCAGGTAGCTTCAATTTGTATTATATGATGTATTTTTATAAATGAATTAGTAATCATTAGAAAAGGAATTTGTTTTAACTATAACTATAAATTATCTGTGAATTATTTATAAGAGCGAAAAATAATATTAAGAGTTTATGATGCTTGAAAATGATATTCGATTGTTACATTTTGATGTTATAAATATTAAAAACTCTGAAACATGTATTAAGTAGATAAAGAAGAAATGGATTTACTTATTTTTCTAATGACACATTAAAACTGTTAAAAGTAAAAATTTTAAAGTAATGTTTCTTTCAAAATTTATGAATTTATAACATTACTTTTTGTGAAAAAGTTTTTTTATAAATTGAATATCTTAATGTATATTATTTTAGATCTAACTATTGTGTATTCTTGGTGTGTAATTTTTTTAAAATTTGTCCTCTCATTTTTTTTTTTAATTTGATACATTAAATGCATTGATTTCATTTAGTTTTTCAAATTTGTATGTTACAGTCTATTAAAATGTAGTAATAAAAAAAAACATAAGACATGATGATTTCACTTCTTTATATCTGAAAATCTTTTCCAGTTCTACATATACTTATTTACTAACACAAAGTGAACCAAATCAAACTTGTGTGAAGTTGGAGGGGCAAAGAAACAGCTAATTTTATGTCCTACATTTTACTTCTCAGAAAAACTTTTTGGTATTTAACCTATAAATTTTATGCATGTATGCTACAAGAAGTATGTGTGTGCAAAGAAGCATGTATGCTGCCAATAATTTGAGTCTTTTAAGGGGTCTCAGTACCTTTCCAACAGTTTTTTTAAATAAAGGTATAATCATTCATTTTGTGGATGCTTTACATGCTCATTTACAGGGATGAGATTTTTCCGCTTTTTAGCGGATTTCCGCCTTTTTTGCTTTTGTCTCTTGAATTTCAGCCTTTTTCTATCAAAAACTCCGATTATCTAAAAGTTTTTTTTTTTCATATAAGTATTCCGCTTTTTCTGAAAATTCAGCCGTTAAAATAAAATAATTATATTTCTTTTCAATTTTCAAAGATAAACGGAAAATTCAAACTACGTAGCTGCCAACCTTTCCGCATTTTTAATAATTTTAGCTATTTTCTCCACTTCTACGAGCAAAAAGTAATATTTTCCGATATCTATACCAGATATCTCATATTTTCGTAAGTCAGACGTCATTGCATTTTAATATCAAACATCGATTTTGCTATTCACCTGATTTAAAAGTTTTTCATTTCGCTTCTTATTCATGCAATTTCAATATCGTACATTGCTTATTTACGAGGTTTAAAAATCCAATATCGCTATTTGTATTTACGCGTTTTTAAATTCCTATATAGTGATTCGTATTCACGTGATTTTAAAATCCAATGTCGCGATTCCTTTATACGGTTGGAATATCAAACATCAGTTTTCGTATTTACACGTGATTTAAAAATTAGGCTTTGGGTGTGTATTCAGTTAATTAAAAATTATGCATCGTGATTCGTATTTACGCGATCTAAAAATTAGGCATCATGATTTGTATAATTTCATGATTTGTACTTTGAAATCCAATATTGAGTTTCGTAGTCACATGATTTCAAAATCCAAGATCGCTATTTGTATTCTTGCGATTTCAAAATCCTTTATCACAATTATTATAAGAAGTAAGTTTTTTTCTTGAATTAGTTACTATATAGGTGGCAGTTGTTCTATCGACGATTATGTGTGTATATATATATAGGCATTACAACATCAGCCAAACTGGATGAGAATATGTTGCTGATTATTTTTGCTATTCGCGATCGTATATCATGTATTAGTAATTTTTAATTAAAAAAAAATGAAATGTTAATGTATGTTCTCAATAGATTAGTGTGCTAAACTAGGCAGTAATAATTGACTCCTTTGTGACTCAAGAAAAATATAATTTCGAGCTTTATTTTTTCAATTTGTAATTTTACTTTTTAAAAAATCTTAAGGTCGATATAATTATACCTATATTAATAAATTAGTACACAATTTTATATCAACACATAATTATTTATTATCTTGAATCGTCTGAAATTTATTATTAAACGATTGATTTACTCGCGTGAAAATTCAGCTTTTTTTGGTTTTGGCCAATCTCATTCCTGCATTTAACTTATAATCAATAATTTATCTTCAAGAAGTAATTAAATTGTTTAATTTTCTTAAAAATTTGAAAAAATTCAAAATTTTTAAATCGTTAAGGCTTTTTTATTTTAACATATTTTCAAGAAATTTTTTTTTTCTTAGTACTTACAATATTTATCTTAACAATTTTGTGCATTCATTTGCTGATATATCAATTAGAATATTTTTTATAGATTTTATTGTAAAAAAGTAGAAGAAAAGGAAAAAAATTCTTGTTAGATATATACATGGGTGCAAGTCTTCCGTCCATAGGACGGATTTCCGTCTTTCGAAAATGTCCGCGGACGGAAGTAAGACGGAAACAAGACTGACTCGAAGACGAAAATCGGAATTTTTTTTTTCTGTCCGTAAAAATATTTTTTAGGTCTACGTTATTGGTCTACTTTCTTCTGTCCTGTTGTTATTTTATCAAAAGACAGATGAATAAATATTTTTTGTACAGTATTTAATGATGTATTATGTATTATGGTAAAGCTTTCTTAGTTAGCATAAGTCGAGGGGATATTGTGTATGTTAGGTATTTCAGTCAAAAAAATTTCAGTCTTGGCCTTTTTTCCAACTTGCACCCATGGATATATATAACATGCTGTAAAAATTGTAGTACCTCATGAAATGCTTATAAATTGATATTTGTCAAAAGATAAAACAAAAAAGACAAATTCAAAGAATTACAGTATGCGGACTGAAAACCTCAAAATATGTTGTTTGATTGTCAAAGAAAACAATGAAGCCACTATCAAAAACGCCTCCAATTTTCTTACATATTTATGGGCGTTGTTTGTTTCCCTCAATATTTTAATCAAATGAAGACATTTTTTCAAGATATTTTTTAAATTCTTCAAAGTTAAAAAATAAGAAAGATAAAGAATATCAATCTTTTTGCAAATATTTAGCAGATATAAGTTTTTTTCTTATGTGTAAAATTTAGAGAGCTATTGTGTCTGTGTGCTTTAATTTCGTCCTCCTCAAAGATTAAAACTCCTGCGATACTCAGGTGTACATAGAATCATCGATTATTTTTCGTCTAATCAGGGCCGTTTTATCCATTAGGCACTGTAGGCAACTGCCTAGGGGCCCCGCCACGTTCAGGGGCCCTGTGCTACAGAGAAAAAAATTGACAATGTTTCTTAAACAGTAAAAAATTTAATTCGAAATTTCAATGACGATTGTCTTGCTCTGTACATTACATCGACCGTTCGGTCTCAAAGCCGTTTAAATTCATTGGCCATAATGGCAATTGAAAATGATGTATTGGAAAAGGTTAACTTTCAGGATGTCTTGAACGATTTTCTAACAAAAAAAGTTAGAAGAGTTAATATTTAAGCTTATTGTATGATTTTTTTTTAATTGCATATATTAATTACTTATATTCTTTTCGTTTGATTCAATATTTTTATTGAATAATGTGATAATATACCTATGTAGCAGGGCTGATTGTGCTCCGGAAAAAATCCGGATTTTTCGCTAACAGTGATCCGGAAGTTTCTGGAGATCGAAGGTCCAAACGTTTCAAAAAATCATTGATCACAGAAGTTTCCGGAAATCAAATTTTCAAAGGTGGAACTTAACACAGTTTATTTTATTTGTATGTAAGGGAGAGCCAGAGAGATACTTTATAAGCTTATATTCTTGATTAATATTCATGTTTTATCAGTAAATAGTTGTTATAATCATAACCTTAAGAAAGACAGACATATTTGTAAATTTTAATTACTTCTCCAGGTCATCATAGGTATGTGTAAATGGTATAGGTATGTGTAAAATTTTAAATATATTTTAAGTAAACTAAAATATTGAGAAAAAGGAAAAAAAAACTTGTTTAAATTTTTTTCAATTTAAACCGTCTNTTAATTTTTTTTTTTTTACTCAAGAAATTTTCCGGAATTTTGACTTGGACTCACAATCACCCCTGATGTAGTAAAAAACAGCGTAATTATGAATAAAGTGTAGTGTTAGCGAAAAAATATATTAGGAAGTTAGAAGACGGTAGGGGGGGGGCCGCGACATGCATAAGCCGGCCCTGCGTCTAATAACTACTTTTTATGAGCATGAACGCCAGTTAAGTCAATTATATAATATTTTTTAATGTACTCATATAATACTATCTATCTACAGAGCAATACAAAATTATACTAAGATAACAAAAAATATTTTAAAAAATAATCTTAAATTTAGCGCCACAGATTTTTTTTCTTCCTAAAAATAAAAAATATAACTTATTTGAAGAGCTTTCTACCGTAGTGAACCAAAGAATAAAAATTATACGCCGGTTTGGCCAATTTTTTGCCAAAAAATATGTGTTCATATATCTTGCACTTTAAATTTATACGCACGTGGAAAAATAAACTTTTCCTGTTACTTGCCAATTAGGTTGAAAAGTGCCTTATTCTAGGGCTCCAATTTTCTTGAAAATGTTGCACTTTTTTGCAGTTCTTGTTGTGACTTGCCATTATGTGCACACTTTAAGACAAAACACTTCTGAAATGAGAAGCTCATACATTTTAGTCCTTTGTCATTCATGGGACAAAAAATAAATGCTACAAACTTTCAACCTAGCGTTTCTAGAAAATAAATGGGAAAATACTTCTATAGGTCCAAAAGAGAGCAAAATTTAAAGAAGAGTTCGAGCAATAGAACTTAGAAATTTTCGAATGCATCGCTCCTTCGTTGAAGATGCTACGAGTAATCGTGTACAAAAAACATGTGTAGAGGGTGAGAAAAATCAGCCTAAACGTCAAACTCCTCAATGAAAGTAATAAAGAGTTTGAAATAAATGCAAATTTTCATGTTGAAATTCACTGTGATAACGAAGAGACGTCAAAGCCAATGAAAAATTTGGATCGAAGTTCAACGTGAGCCATAGCGCTATGAGAAAAACTTTTCACTGCAACCACTGGAACTTAAAAAAAAATCTAAATAAGAACGGCGTACTCTGGAGACGTTTGAATCTAGTCATATATCTGGATGATAATCGTTTTCAGTCTATAAACCAATCTTAGTATTTATCCAATCTGATGTTCACAAATTTTTATTTGAAGTTTTGGTGTGATTTTTGTTAATAAAACGTTTTAATTTTAATAAATGTCGATTCGGGAATAAAGCCTATCAGTCTGAAGACTGATTGGCGGTAGTCTCACTGCTATTGTCGTCTGCCGGCTATCTGCACAGTCGCTTTGGAATGAATTCCAACTTTTTGCTGCTCGCTCATCGGTCTCTGTGTATCGACGACTCAAGTTGAGCTTTCGTGATTCAGGGCCCTGTGCTGTTGAATCCGCAATAGACACAACTAGTCAATTTTTAATTTTGGGACTATTAACCAGGCTTAAAACTAAAACGTAAAT